AGAGACCTGGTCCTAGAAAGCCTTCTTCTCAAGACCTGTGGTCCCAGTGAAGTCTCTGGCTGACTGTGCATTGAAGAGTTTGCAACAACAGAGAAACATGCAACAGCAAGATCCTCATAATTTGCTGACCTCCTTTTGGAAGATTGGATCAGTACTGCAGCACAATGCTATAAACACCAACCTATTCAGTGAAAACAGGCTGCAAAAGATGAAGGAGGACAAAAAATGGAAGTTTTTGCACCATCCACCTGCTGCTCAAGTCCATCCACCTGCATGTAATTATGGGGGCTAAGTTACATGGGATTTGTTGTGATGCCTGGGCTTCCTTGGGGGGAGAGGGGAAGCATAATAAAGAAGTGTCCTTTTACTATTAATACTGACATAATATTTAAAGCTTTTCCATGTGCAAGAAAAGTCCAAAATTGATCAGCCAGAGGAATGATCCTCTTTTTCATGGCAATATCTGTGTTTTGAAAAGTATTTTCTTTCCTTTGGAAGTGAAAACAGCTCTACAGTATTTTTGCAAAACAAAACAAGTGTTCTCTTTGTCAATGCTTGTATTGGTTTTGCATGGCCAGGTTTTGGTGGCAGTGAGGCTATAGTGGCAGCATCGGTGGGAAGAGGGTCGGGGATAATTACATGCAGGATCTGGCAACAGATCTGATGTATAATTAAAACTTTGTATTCGGTTTGCATGGCAAGATTTTGGTACAGTGAGGCTATAGTGGCAGCTTCTGTGAGAAGCTGCTGGAAGCTTCCTGCATGTCCAACAGAGCCAAAGTCAGCTGGCTCCAAGACAGACCTGCTGCTGCCCAAGGCTGAGCCCATCAGCAACCATGTGAGTGCCTGTGGGATAATCGAATTCAGACAGGGAAGAAAAGCACATCTGTGCAATAGAAACTGCATTGGGAAAAAGGATTGAGAATATGAGAAACAGCTCACAGATACCAGGATCAGGGAAGAAGGAGAGGAAGGTGGTGCTCCAGGCACCAGAGCAGAGATTCCCCTGCAGCATGTGATGAAGAGCACAGTGAGGCAGACTATCCCCTGCAGCTCATGGAAGTCCACCATGAAGCAGATATCCACCCACAGCCCATGGAGTACTGCACACTGGAACAGGTGGATGACCAAGAGAGGGTGTAAGCCTGTGGGAAGCACACACTGGAGTAGGCTCCTGGCAGAACCTGTGGCTCCACAGAGAGAGGAATCCTCACTGGAACAGGCTTACTGGCATGATTGTGAATTTGTAGGGGGTCCTACACAGGAGCAGTCTGTTTCCGAAGGACTGCACCCCAGAGGAGCCTGTGCTGGAGCAATTTGTGAAGAACTGCAGCACATGAGAAGGGCAAGTTTGTGGAGGACTGTGTCCACTGGGAAGGGGCCCATGCTGGAGCATGGAAAAAACAGGAGGAGTTCTCCCCCTGAGACAGTGACAGTGTGAGATGAGCTTACCAAAGCCATCATTCCCTTGTCTCCCTGCACCACTCAGGGGGAGGAGGAGGTACAGAACTTGTGAATAAAATTAAGCCTGGGAGGAAGGAAGTGGGGGGGGAAAGGTGCTTTAAGAGATGGTTTTATTTCTCATTATCCTACTCTGATTTAATTGGTAATAAATTCTATGAATTTTCCCCAATCAAGCCAGTTCTGTCTATGATGGAAATTGCTGAGTGATCTCTCCCTGTCCTTATCTTGACCCATGAGCCTTTCCCTCTGTTTTTTTCCCGTGTGTCCAGCTGAGGAGGAGGGTGATAGTGGTTTTGGTGGCCACTGAGTATCCAGCCAGGGCCAACCCACTACCACTAAGGGTGGAGAATGTGTTGGTGCTGGGATAGAGTTAATTTTCTTCACAGTAGCTAGTTTGGTGGTCTGTTTCAGGCTTGTGCCGGAAACAGTGTTGATAATTCTGGGATGTTTTCATTATTGCTGTGCAGTACTTACATAGAGTCAAGGCCTTTTCAGTCCCTCACCTCACCCCACCATCAAGAAGACTGGAGCAGCACAAGAAGTTGGGAGGTGACCCAGGTGGGACAGTTGACCCCCCATGATGCAAGGGATATGCCATACCACATGGCATCATGCTCAGCATCTAAGGCTGGGGAAGAAGAACGGGGTAGAAGTTCAGAATGATGGCATTTATCTTCCCCAGTAACTATTATGTGCAATGTAGCCCCAAAACTACACCACGGTTTAGGTCAAACCATGGCAGTCCTTTTTACCTGCTGGGGTTAGCATAGACTGGGTTTGAGTTTGCCTGAGGTAGGAATAACCTGTTTTCCCCATTGTGTTTTTAATATGCTCTACAGGAATTCTATCCCCTTCTACAGTATGCAAATATTTTGATTGCTTAGGGCCAGTCCAACTGGCAGAATCCCTGGTGTTGACTAACCAGGCAGCCTTTGCTAAATGTGCATCCCAAAGTATGAATGTACAACCACCTGTTGCTCTCAATGTAGTCTTTGACAGTCCATGGCATAATTTGATCTTTCCGGAGGCTGGTGTCTGATAGGGAATGGGATATACCCACTCAATGCATGTTTTTTGGCCCAAGTGGCTGTGAGGTTGTTTTGGGGATGAGTTTTGTTGTCTGATTCATTTCTTTCTGGATTACTGTGTCGACATAAGACCTGCCATTCAAGGCTCAGGTTTCTGGTGGTGGCATGGGGCAGAGGGTATTTTTCCAACCATCTGGTGGTTGCTTCTGCCATTGTAAGCACAGGGCACTTGCCTTCACGGGTTTGGGAGAGTGTGATATAGTCAATCTGACAGGCGCCCCCCGTACTTAGATTTCAGCCATCATCCTCCAGAGAGGCTTTAGCAGCTTGGCTTGCTTAATTGCAGTGTATGTTTCACATCCATGTATAATCTGTCCGATAGTGTCTATGCTTAAGTCTGCTCCTCAATCACAAGCCCACCTATATGTTGCATCTCTTCCTTGATGGACCTAGGGCCTACTTGATGTCAAGGGCCTACTGAGCTAGAAACAATGCACCCTCGTGTTGCCAATCCAAATTCACCTGAGCCACTTCAATCTTGGCAGATGCTGGTTGCTCTGATGTTCTTCAGATCCCTAACTCTTGGGTACAGAAGCATCTGTGTGATGTACCTTCACAATCAGGTTCTCCACCAAGCAGCAATATCTTGCCACAATGCAGCAGCCCAGATGTGTTTACCCCTACACTTGCAGTCACCCCTGCGGGACATAGTCTGAATAAAGTATTGGCCATTTTTCTCATTCAGCAATGTCTAAAGCCAGCAGGATAGCTTTCACCATTGCAAACTGGCTCAATTCACCTTCTACTTCAGCAGTTTCTGTGACTTGTCATAGGGGACTCCATACAGCTGCTTTCCATCTCTGGTGCTTTCCCACAAGACAGCAGGATCCATCAATAAACAAGGCATATTGCTTCTTGCTTTCTGGGAATTTATTATATAGTGGGGCCTCTTCAGCGCGTGTTACTTCCTCCTCTGGTGACATTCCAAAATTTTTGCCTTCTGGCCAGTCCATGATCGCTTCCAAGATTCCTGGACAAGTGAAGATTCCTAGCTGAGCTTGTTGTATGATCAGTGCAACCCACTTACTCCATGTAGCATCACTTGCGTGATGTGTAGAGGAGGCCCTCCCTTTGAACAGCCAACCCAAGACATGTAACTGGGGTGACCAAGAGGATCTCTTCTGCTAGGAAGGGCTCACTATCATGTGTGATATTTTTAAAGGGAAATTTCGAGTTTTATTTAAGGGGAGCTGACACATATTCTTCCATATTTAGTGACATCCACCCTCATCTGTAGAATATATGCCATTATTTCACTTTATTTCTTCAATAAGAAACATTTTCTGTATAATGTTTAAAGCTCTTCCTCCAGTTTAATCTTTTTCTTTTCTTTTTTTTTCTTTCAAAGAATCATAACAAAAGATGCTATTAGTGCTATTCTTGTATCTTGTTGTAGATGAATACACTCATTCCAGGTGAGTACAGCCACCTCTGCAGTGACAAAGTGAAATGCACCAGACTTCTACAGCCATAAAATGGGCAACAACAACAGAGTTTGGATAAGTTAGCAGAGTGTGAAAATTTCACTAAGTCCCACCATTCTGCAGGGCACTGCATTTATTATGTTTAATCAGAAGATGTCCTCAGGATCTTTTCTTTCACTCGAGAGCAATCATGAAAATGTTCTAAAATGAATGCACTTGTCTAACATCTGGTAACAAGGAAAGGGGACCAATGCTTATTTACAAATGAGAAGCCACACCATGACAATACACTTACACCTGTTTCAAGAACTAACAGTAGAAATAAAATATTTGAGAAAGATTGATTTTATTCACATGTTGGATTACTCAGAAAAGAAATAATTAAGAAGCCAAGAATGACTCTATTGCAGAAAATCACTTATATCAAAGTGAAGTAAGTCCTAGGAATTCTGCCTGTCATTTGAGATCTAAATGCTTTTTGGTGTTTTCTATCATCAGTATAAATGTTAGCAAACACATCAAAACATTTTGACATTAGTGTCTTGCATCTGATGTTATTTAATGAAAATCTCTGAGGTACTGTTTTATTTTATGCAGTATATTTAGAAAGTGCACATTATGGTATTTATGGAAGAAAGTCAAGTTTCAATACTTTTATGCCCTTTAAACAATATGCTACTGGCTAAGAGAAGTTTCTCAGTACTCAAAATATCAGATCAACAGAGAAATAGCTGAAATACTATTTTCATTATAAAGTTACCAGATAGTAACTTCATAATCAAGTATTTCTTTCAACTGAAATGTAGGATCCAATTGGCTATATACAACTTTCTCTTTGAATCCCTTGTCCTCATCACCCTGATAGTTTAACTGGAGAAGTAAAGTAATTTAAGTGTCTCTGCACTAGGATGATTCCATACACAAGAATCCACATTCTTCTTGTGTTTCAAATCTGTTTTTATTGCCTCCACATCCCCCATACCAGAACTGACCACACAATTTCTGTTCTTTGTCGTAGTACCACTTCAAAACATAATTTTGACATTCTCCACTGTCTTGAGCAAGGTCACACGCATCTGGAAAAGGGAAATGAGACAGATTTAATGAAAGAAATGTCCACCCCTCTCAGCATTGTAAATTCAGGGAAAAGTGAGAAGCATTCAGTGCGAACTCTCACACAAAAGAAGTAGCCAGTGTTCAAGGTCACATTCAGTGCAAAGTGTCATACAAAAGAAGTAGCCAGTGTTCAAGGTCTTACAAGATTCACTAAGTATTCATCCACAAACTCACAGAGCCAGCATGGTGTGAAGACTCTTTTCTGATGATTGATTTAACCAGAAAGAATGTCTGAAACAACGAGATTTTCAGTGGCATAAACAGAAGGAATGCCAAAATGTCTTCTAACCTAGACTTTTTACTAAAATTATTGTAAAAGGATTGTACCTGGTCCATAAGGACTGGGTAAACAAATCTATTAAGAATTTCCCTCTTCTTTATTCCGGCTTGTTTTGGTGGTATCCATCAATAAAATTTCATAAATGAACACACATAGTTCATTAAACTATCCATGATAGTCTCTTAGCCAAACCCAAGAGTTATATAGTTTTAAATTGCATAAATTAGCGAAGTACCTGAGATTAGGGTACTTTGTAGCAATCTGGTATTCAGTAAGAACAGATCTAACTGTCTTTTGTCAATGTATATTCAGAGTAACTCAAAAGAAGTCAGGACAGCTCTAGACTTTGGTATCTGTGCAAGATCAAAGGGCAAAAACTGAGAAGTAAAGAAAAACACTGATAAAACTACTCAAAGATTTAAAATTATACAATCTTGCCCTAATCAACCAAAAAGCAATAGTCTTAAGCAATAGATCAGTACAAAATACACCTCTCAAAAGGCAAATTCTGGAACTGGGCTGCATGTTTTGGAAGCAAACTGTTGGGTCACTATTTACAACACAGGATTGGGAAAGGCAATTCATACATCTCCCATTAAGTGGCTTAGGTCACTTCTCAAATCAGTGCAATGACCCTGACTACTTCCTCAAAGACAATATTTTATTTGCAAAGTGTAAACAGTAACATATCTTCCAGTTACTGAACTTCCTGTGTGACCACAGAGTTCATGAACTGGTTAATGAGTGATTAACAAGACTGTACACATGCAGTTAGGCAGACAGGCCCAATTCCATCAGTGCTGACAAAGTCTGTCTTGCACTGTGGTTGTATGACATTCCCAGAGGTACATTAGCTCTTAATTAAAGATCCAATGTTAAAACAATATTGCAAAAGTATTGGTTCTCTCTCATCACGGATGGGGTTACCATTTTTGAGTGCAGAGGGATGAAAAACAGAGGGATGATGAGCTACCACATCTAAAACTATGCAGACACTTTTTCATTTTTTTGTCACATAAATTCTCTCCAATTGCAATTTAAACAACAAAAACACTCAATAGTGCTAGAACAATGTTGGTGACAAACAATCTCACAATCAGCTTTCCCTGCCTATATCAAGCTGCAAATCTACAATGAAAAATGAATAATCAGAAAGCAAAGCTAAAAACAAGAAGAACATATATTTTGATACCTCTGCTGAGGGATCCTGTTCTTCCTACAGGAATAGACTCTAGCAGAGACATATTTAGTTCCTCCATGTTGAGCTAAGTTAGCAGCAAGAGTAACTCGGTAATTAAAATGCAACTTGGAGATTTAAAATTATCATCTGTTTTGGTAAGGGGGATTAGAACTTTATATGATATTATTACAAAAATTTACAAGTCAAAACTGAAGTCATAATGCACCTGTTGTTCAGTCTTTAATTGGATACTCTTACCATACAGATTTGAACTGAATACAACATATGGTGACTAAACACTTTGGAAAAATGTAATTACTGGGAATGCTTCATCTTGTACAAATATTCAACCAAGCCCTTCACAATTTAGAATCCTTTTACTGAACTGAAAAAATTTTCATATTCTTAAATCATACCATAATTATTACAGGCAGCTCTAGTTCCTACTGTTGTGCCTAAATTTTCCTTGTTCTCCTCCTGAGCTTCTCCACACTTTTGTGGCTTTTCTGCTTCAGCATCTTCCTCTGTGAAATACTCATTCTCCTCATAATCATATCTCATTTCTGGCACTGTGTACGCAGGTTCTGTTGTGGTCTCTTTAATACTCTTCATTACTCTACTTTCAGTTTTTTCAATGTCTTCTAAACCATGACTGGAACCAGTTTCAGCCATTCCAGGAAAAGGAATCCTTCCAAGGAAAGGGGAAAAAAAAGTAATGTTTTCAAGCACCAGTATGACCTTGAAAAATTCATCTTCTGAATACCATGAAAAAAAAATGTTTATCCTGATCTCATTTCTATTAAAGCTACTTTGAATGTAGCCACTAACCCAAAGGGAGATATCTTGTATTCAGAGATACACAGTCAAAATTAAATAGACAACTGCAAACCTTTCAATCATAGGTGCTTGCTGTTGTGTGTCTCCTCTATCTAAGTTTTCACACTCTTCTTGAAGTTCAGGTGAAGGATAGCTGTTCATGTCTTCTGTAGGG